TTGCCTTTCTGCTCTTCTCCCCTTCTCCCTTCCCCCTCCATAACCAACTAAATAAATATCCAACCTCACTCTGCATGGTGTGCCTATCAGTCTGTCTCTCATCCACTGCCTGGGGCCAGCCGCTTTAGGAGATCTGCAGCATGGTCTTGTGTGCCATTCCTGCCTGGGACTGGCTGCTCTGGGGCCCACTGCCTGCCCCAGCTCGGGGACCTAAAGCGTGTTCTCATGGCCCAATGCCCGCTGCAGCCACTCAGGATCCGCAGCATTTTTAATTAATCCATTACAGACGGGGCAGCCCATATTTCTTGTCAACCCCGAAGTCTGTGGGAAGCTCTGTTTAGGGAGAAAACACTTAGAATGCAGGTGATCCCTTGCCAAGAACAACACCAGGGCCTGCAGCCTATGGTTTTTATCTAGAAGCCGAGGGTTAGGGGAAAGTGGGTGTGGGGTGAGAGGGTGGGGGTTGGGAAATTTTTGTGCTTTGCTAAGAGGGACATTAATTGCTCGTTCTACCTAGAAACCACCAGATGTTTGAGTCAAGGGTCAGTCCTAGTATGAAGACTGTAGAAAGAAAGGAATGAAGATAAAAATATTTTTGTTGTTATTGTTTTGTTTTTGTTTTTTTGAGACAGGGTTTTTTTTCTGTGTAGCTTTGGAGCCTGTCCTGGAACTCGCTCTGTAGACCAGGCTGGCCTCAAACTCACAGAGATCCACCTGCCTCTGCCTCCTGAGTGTGGGGATTAAAGGTGTGCGCCACCACCGCCTGGCTGAAAATAAAATTCTTAACCTTCCCTTTCTCTTCACTCAGGCTCCTGAGGATAACAAAGAGCCCAAGGAGCTGGAGTTGAGAACTTTCCTGACAGCCCTTGCTTAGCTTTGGCTGAAACAGCCCTCTAACAGGATGGACCTGTGTGAACGTGGCTGGGCCCATCTTCCCTTCTGCATCTGAAGTTCTGCAGTTTCTTGACAACTTTGCCCTTCCTCCATCTTCATAAAGATGGTTTAGGTGATAAACTGTTGACTGGGTTTTCTGCTTTATTTCTTACTCCATACTAAAGTAAGATTCCTCTGAACACTGCTTCCTCGCCAGACTAATTGGAGTGTCTGCAACCAGAGAGAAGGGACCGTTAGAACAAACTCTCATGCAGCCCAGGCTGGCCTCAGAATCACTTTATACGGACGATGACTTTGAACTCTCCATCTTCCTGCCCCCCCCCCAAATGCCAGAACTACAGATGCATACGCTCAGCATAGGGAATGTTGAAGGTACCTCCGCCTCCCTCTCAGCCTCAACGGGAACATGGGTTTATAAGTGGATCCATGGACCAGAGAGCGGTTGGCGCACAGCCTTAATCCCAGTTCTTGGGGGGCAGAGGCAGGTGAATCTCCGTTGAGTTCAAGGTCAGCCTGGTCTACAGAGCGAGTCCCAACAGTTCTGGGACAGCCAGGGCTACACAGAGAAACCCTGTCTTGAATATCTTCCCCCTCAAAAAATAAAGAAGTGGTTCCGTGGAAATCAGCATGTCTATCAGTCTGCTGTGCCTGTGCCATTACACCACGGTGTCCCAGCAAAGCTTGGAGTACCTTAAGCCCTCTCAGGAAATGAGATTAGCCCCTTATGCCTTTCTCCTTCCTCTCAAGATGCAGAAGGAATTGGCAACTGTTGCCAGCTCGTCCATCCTGAACAACAGGGAAGATGCTGCCAACAACTGTGCCCATGGCCATGTACCATGGAGGAGGAGATAGCCAATCTGGTCGTGGGATGAATCTGAAGACTGGTGTGTGGAGCCAGGTGTCCCTGGCACCTGCAGGAGGTCACTGCATCCTTAGCCCTCCCTCCCTGGCTTAGAAGATTACCACGTACAGGAGAAAGGGAAACCACACAGCCTGTGGCTGAAGCCGCAGACGTCATTCCTCTGTCCTGTTTGTTTTCCCAGCTTCCCCTAGGGGGAGCTATGTGTCCTGCTTGGGAAGCTTGAGTAACCTGCTCTACCCCGAATTCCTGGGCTTGCACTTCTCTGCTGCTTGCCTGTTTTTCTGGTCCAAACCTTCTTTGAACTTTGATCCATTTCTAACAGTTGATTGTTGTTCTTGGACTCTGTAGATCCGTCCAGCTGGGAGAGCCTCCCTTAGCTCTTAAGTACTTTTCCAGTTACTCCTCACTGTCTGACAGTGAAGCCAGCTGGGAGTCAATGCCTTGGCTCTGCGGCTCTACAGAAATGGTGTAGATTTGTGTGGCTGTTTCAGTAGGTTCTGTGAGCCCGTCCTTAGAAAGAAGGGAAACAAAACACCTCTCTTTTCTTTTCTTTCTTTTGTTCTCTCTCTTTCTCTCTCTTTCTTTCTTTGATTTTGTTTTTTTGCGACAGGGTTTTCCTGTGAGACAGTCCTGACTGTTCTGGAACTCACACTGTAGACCAGGCTTGGCCTCCAACTCACAGAGATTCACCTGCCTCCCAAGTGCTGGAATTAAAGACATGCGCCACCACTACCCAGCCCAAATACCTTTCTTATGCAGTATTTAGGCATGCATTTGGGAGATGGCTACTTTTTTGGCTCAAGGAACATTAGGATTACTAGAGTACTTGGTAAACGGTAGGCTCTAAGGCTCCAGGGAAGGGTGGGACCTGGGGCTTTGTATAGACTCAGCCAGTTCACTGTGCCCGACTATGTCACCTGTCTGTCAAGAACTCCGAATGTCCTGTAAGTATTCTTTCCTCACAGAGGTAAAAGCCCTTTGGGTGGTGATGGGAATTTCTATATCTTGATTGGCTTGATTATATAATTTCTATATCTATATAGGTTTGTCAAACCTTTCATTCTATATATAAGATATAGGGGTATAAACTACACTTCAAAATCTTTCCTATGTGAAAAGGAATGCAATTGTGTGTAGGTAATAATCACTATATAGACAGTTGAGAGTTCTCTAAGAGGGACTGGGGACAAGGGACATGTCACCTGTATCCTTAACAGTGCGGTCCCATATCTAAACAGACCAGGACACTGTGCCCAGGGCTTGCTGTCCTCGGAGCTGTGAGGCTTTAACTCCCTGTTTAACACAGCATCTTCCTCTTGAGTAAGAAGTCCAGGCTGGAGTTTGCTGTCTACCCAGCCCCACATGTCCACAGCACTTGTGAGCCCTGCAGCTCCAGCCTTAGCCCCCACACCACCCTGAAGTTCTCAGACGGGACCTTCATGATAAACCATTTATGGCATCTGTCACTGCAGCTTGGACACCGAGCACTTGACTTACGGACAGGTTCATCAGCCAGATCATGTCTTCCAGCTCCCTGTGTTTGATGGTGCCCTCAGTGTGGATGTCATGAAGTTCCAGACCTTTCTGGTCCTACCCTGCATCCAACTTCCTGATGACCTGCTCGCCTACCCCAGCTGAGAAGGCCCGAGTGAACACTACACTCTCCTATCAGACGGCCAAGAACGGCAAGTATGTTGCCTCCCATCTGCTCCTTTATGAAAACCGAGTGCCCATGGATGTCGCTGCTGCTGTTGCTGAGGTCAAGTCCAAGTGCAGCATCCAGTCTGTAAACTGGGGTCCCACAAGGCTCAGGGCAAGTTGAGGGTAAGAGGATTAACACGTGACACATGTAGCCACTCAGAGAAATTCCAGGACACGCGAATGCACTGAGAATGGAAAGACTAGGGCAGGTGACCCTTGAACTGTCAGAGAAGTGAGGCCTTGGGGCCAGAAGCCAAGGGTGTGGCTTCCTCATTCACACTTGCCAGAGACATAGACAGGTGACTGGGCTCTCTGAAGGGAATTGTTTCCCACCTCCCCGGTATCTTGCTCTGTAGAGCTGTCTAACCAGGAGCCAGGCTCCTGCTGCAGCCTCCTAGGTGTGCATTACATACCTGGATGAGGGAACAATTTGGGAAATACAGAATGGCCTTCATCAGATTAGGGGGTGTAGGAGTCAAAGGCTTCTTGTGTTCTGCACCTGTCATTTCCTCTTGGAGTAATAAACTCATTTAATCCCCACCTCGTCACCCACCCCATTCCTAACGAGCAGGCACATAGAACTAAGTTTAAGTTTTATGGGCTTTGCTCTAGAGCAGTGTGGTTCTCAACCTTCCTAATGCTCAGACTCTTTAATACAGTTCCTCACGTCATGGTGACCCCCTCCCCTACCATAAGATTATTTGGTTGCTATTTCATAACTGTAATTTTGCTACTGTTATGAATCATAATGTAAATATCTGATATATAGGATATCTGCTATGTGACCCCCAAAGGGGTTATGGCCCATAGGTTGAGAACCACTGCTATAGCAACAGATTCTAGAAAGATTAAAAATGGCTGTGGTGGCATTAGAGAGCATACTCTGGGGGCTGGAGCGATGGCTCAGTGGTTGAGAGCACTGGCTGCTCTTCCAGAGGACCCTGTTCACTTCCCAGCACCCACATGGTGCTCACAGCTGTCTGCAACTCCAGTTCCAGGGGATCTGCCTACCACACAAACAGACACGCAGGCAAAATACCAATGCACACATAAATAAATCTAAAGAATGAAAGGAAGGAAGAAAGGCAGAAGGAAGGAAGGAAAGAAGGAAGGAAGGAAGGAACGAAGGAATGAAGGAACGAAGGAAGGAAGAGTGAGCAAAGCTTACCTTGCCTTCCTGCACTGTGGTGCTGCTGTATGGCTGTGACCACAACTAGATAGGAGGCACAGGCGCCTGGACTTGCAGGTAATAGTTATTTGCTGGTTAAGAGGCTGTTCTGTGGTTCAGGCTGCAAAGGCCAGGGGTAGGGGGAGTACATCTTGAGACACTCACTGTGGCTGTTGCCACATTAGGAAAAGTTTTTGCTGTTCCTAGGAACTCTCACTGCTTTAGGGATCAGTGAACTTGTTGCCCTCAGGGGCACTGGCTGGAAGCAACCATTTTTTTAAAGGAGGGAAAATAACCTCAATTATGAAATACATTTGTTTAATAGTTCTTTTATTTTTTATTTGCTTTTTAAAGGACCTTATTATTATTATTATTTTATGTAAATTAACCCATTTATTTAGTTGGCTGTGCATTATTGAGTAGGCTTTGAGTCTCAAACGGTAGCACTTCTACTGATCTTTCAGTTCCTTCAGTCTTCTGATGGCAGACTTCACTGTGATGGCAGAAGTTGTGTTGTAGGTCCAGGCCCCGCCAGCCACTGTTTTCATGCAGGAACCACAGGGCCAGATGCCGACGGCTCGTCTCTTCATCTTGGTCTTGCCACAGAAGGAGCACGTGTACTTGGCGTGCTGGCTGATTTCAATTTTCTTTACCATTTTCCGGAGGGAGGCACCATAGCGGGTCCCGTATTTCCCGACGATCCCGACCTTCTTGGTGCGTTTAGCCATGTCGCCGGAACCAAAGCCAAGCGCGGAGAACAGGACCTTATTATTTTTGATTCTGTGTCTGTGTGTCTGTGTACGCATGTGAGTACAGGTACCAGAGGCTTTAGGTCCCCAGGAGCTGGAGTTGCTGGCTGTTATGAGTTATGTTGGTGCTGGGAGCTGCCTGGGTCTTCTGCAAGAGCAGTAAGCTTTCTGCCACCGAGCCCTCTCTCTAGTTCCGCATCTATTCTTTTTTTGAAGATTTATGTATTTATTATGTATACAGTGTTCTGCCTGTGTGTATGCCTGCAGGCCAGAAGAGGGGAGCAGATCTCATTAGAGATGGCTGTGAGCCACCATGTGGTTGTTGGGAATTGAACTCAGGACCTCTGGAAGAGTGGGCAGTGCTCTTAACCTCTGAGTCGTCTCTCCAGCCCTCCACATCTACTTTTATACCTAACGAAATTAATGGTTTCTCCCAAATAAGGACTGGTGAGGTGGCTCCATAGGTAAAGACAGCAACTGCCAAGCCTGATGACCTGAGCTCCATCGCATGGACCCACGGCATAGAGGAAGAGAATTGACCCTGGCAAGTTGTCGTCCGACTTCCACGTGCATGCTGTGACTGACAGACAGACAGACAGACAGACAGACACACATACACCACAGTTTAAAAAAAAAAAGAATACCAAATAAGTATTCAAACTGACCCAGTTGTCCTAAATGTTTGTCTGTTTGAGGACAGAACCTTTCTCTGCAGGCCATGGTGTCCTGGAACATAGGGTCCTTCTGCCCTGGCTTCCTGAGCATTGGAATTGTGGGTTTCTTTCTTTCTCACATTGTTTTATTCATTTGTTTAGTGTCTGTGTGCATGGCCTGCTTGGTACGGTGATCATAGTACAACATGTGTGTGGAGATCAAAGGGCAATCAGTAGAGTTGATTTCTCCTTATATCACAGGGATCCAAGGGACTGAACTCTGGTCATTGGACCCAGCAACAGGAATTACAGATTTCTGTCACCGTGGCTGTTTCCTTGTTTCTTCAAAGTGGTAAAATATCAGATACCAAACAACTGTTCTTTCCCCAGTGATGGGATTGCTTTTTCCTTGAGTCAGTGCTTCACTGTATAGCCCTGGCTGTCCTGGAACTCACTCTGTAGACCAGGTTGGCCCCAAACTCAGAGATCTGCCTGTCTCTGCCTCCCAAGTGCTGGTATTAAAGGCATGCGCCATCACTGCCTGACCAGTTGTGGGATCTTTGTGTAGACTCTTCCCAAAGCACGAAGAGCCAGCTACTGAGACCATCTCCTGTTTCTTCCTAGGACAGCATCAATCTCTAGCCCCTTACCCCCACGGTGCTTGGATATGAGCTACCCAAGGTGCTGCATGAAGCTGCGTGCTGACCACCACCACGGCCATCACGGCCAGACCTGCCTTGACCTTGAGTTTGACTGATATGTGGCAAACATGTCTCAGTGCGCTAGTCTGTGGGCAGCCTATAGACGAAGGAGAGTTCTCTGAGGCCAGAGAGGAGAGGACTGCTCTGGAGTAGCATCAGTACAGTGTAGTTGCAAAGAAATGGGTACAGCAGAGCACCTGGTGTCCCCCAGTTTTCTGTCACTAACCCCACTGTTCTCCCAGCCCCTGCAGATGCCATCCTGACAAGGGCTTTCAAGGATGGCTTAGCCCTGGGCCATCCTGCTTGTCTTCATGTCGGTCCTTACATATTCCCTGTCCCTCGTCCACCCCAACAAAGGTTGAGTCTTCTACAGCCCTTAGCTTCTGGGAAGGATCTGCTCCATGTCAATGCTCAGAAGAAATCACATCTAAAATTTTAACCTAACCTCCCTCCTCATGGCCAGCAGAGGACAGTAGAGGTTGAATTCACAGGTAACCTGCCCTGGTCATCTTAAAATGTAAGGTGCAGCCAGGCGGTGGTGGCGCATATCCCCGCATAAGGAGGCAGAGGCAAGCAGATCTCTGAGTGCCAGGCCAGCCTGGGCTGAGTTCCAGGACAGCCAGGGCTTCACAGAGAAACTCTGTCTCCAAAAACAAAACAAAATAAAATAAAACTGTAAGCTCCATGCTTTATAGGGAGACACAGAAGACAACAAGCAGGATTCCAAAAGAGAGCCTTTCTCCTCTTTTGGCCATGAACATATGAAATAACTTTTTAAAAAAGATTTATTGATTTAATAATCATACAGTGCCCTGATTATATATGTGCACACATGCCAGAAAAGAGCATCAGATCATATGGCTGTGAGCCACCATGTGGTTGCTGAAAATTGATCTCAGGTCCTCTGGAAGAGCAGCCAGTGCACTTAACTTCTGAGCCATCTCTCTGGCCCATGAAATAACTTTTTAAAAGTGTTTGAAACGTTTTGAACAGAAATTTGAAGTCTCATTATCAATGGAGTCCCTAATGAGATAACTAGGGAATTTGTTTGAGGCTAGTCAGGTCTGAACACATGGTCTTAAAGATCAATGTATCATTAGCCAGGCGGTGGTGGCGCACGCCTTTAATCCCAGCACTCAGGAGGCAGAGGCGGCCAGATCTCTTTGAGTTTGAGGCCAGCCTGGACCACAGAGCAAGTTCTAGAACAGTCAGGGCTACACAGAGAAACCCTGTTTCGAAAAACAACAAAAACTAAATTTAAAAAAAAAAGAGGTTAGACCATTCTGCCCTATTAAAGTACCTCTCAAGGATGCAAATCCATCTCTCTGCCAGTATCTCCACTCACAAACCAGTGAGCTGGTGGTTCCTTTCTTCCTTTCCCTCTCAAGGTACATGAATTTATCTATAGCCTCTATAAGTTCCTATCTTAGAGGGACCCTCCTATCTACACAGGACCCTCAGCAATAGGAAGGAGAGGATCCAGAGGGCTCGACACCTAACCTCAGCACTCTTGGCGATGGGGTCTTCATAGTGTGAGCCAGTTAAGTGCTGAGAGCGAGTTAGACATAGCTCTTTGATAAACCAGCCACCACCTGGCTGAACAGAGAGGTCAAGGGACACAGCTGAACAAGGAGGCGGGGTTGTGATATTCAGATGAACAAGGAGGCGGGGTTGTGATATGCAGGCGAACGAGGAGGGGGGGTTTGGCATAAGGCTGGCTCTAGGCTGGTTTAGCTAAACTCCATAAGAGCAGTCTCTGCAGAGGAGCAGCCTTCAGGCCTTAGATGTCCAGGGAGGAGAAAGCTATGGTGGCCATTTTCTGTATGCACTATCAACATCCATACATGGAATACAGGGAAGTCTTTGCAGCTTCTCTCTGGGTTAGAGATGAGGGTTCTAGTCTCTAACATGCAATATACATGTCAACAGTATACATTCTCTCAGTACCTTGCAGAACTGGGGCTTTCTACACTCCCCACAACCTCGTAACCCCCTCATATCCTTTTTGAGGGGAGTGGGAATTGTTTTTCCTGAGATAAAGTCTCCTGTAGCCCCTGGACTTGACCTCCCCGTATAGTTGAGGATGGCCCTGACTTCTGACCCTCCTGCCATCTATCGCTCCACTCTCTTTTCTCACATTTTAAAACAAACAGCAACAAAGCTGGGCAGTGGTGGTACAGGCCTTTAATCCCAGCACTCAGGAAACAGAAGAAAATGGATCTGTGAGTTCGAGGCCAGCCTGGTCTACAGGAGCAAGTTCCAGCACAGCTAGGGTTGTTACACAGAGAAACCCTGTGGAAAAAAACAAAAAATAAAAATAAAAAGAGAACTCTAGAGGTCCATCCAAAGTACCTGACCTGTGACAGAATTTAACAAGCAGGCCTCTGTCCTGAGAATGTAGCTGAACATTTCTGTGTTCAATCTCTATTGAGGGAGTGAGGGAGAAAGAGTGGGAAATGTGAGGAGGGAGAGGGAGAGAGAAAAAAACAAAGAATTGGAGGGGGGGATCAGATGAGAGTGTTAGGATACATAGTGAGTTCAAGGCCAGTCTAAGGTGCAGAGTGAAACGGTCTCAAACCATCCCGTTTACTCACCCCACCCCTCCAAGAAAGTAGACAAACTTGGGGAGTAAAGGCAGGAGAATTTCAAGTTCCAATTCGGCCTGATTTACACAGGAGGACTCTTGTCTCAAAAAGGTTTGCCAACCATCACAAAAAGAAAAGAGTTAGCTGTTCCACTAGGCCAACCCAGCAGGCTTTCTCTCTCTCTCTCTCTCTCTCTCTCTCTCTCTCTCTCTCTCTCTCTCACACACACACACACACACACACACACACACACACACACACACACTCCTGAGTCTTGATAAAATGCTAGAATCCCCTGACATGGCGCCTTCTAAGGAGTCTCTAGCACACGGGGCGTGACACCTACGTGCTGTGAATCTGGGCCAGACAGGGAACACAGCTGGGAAGAGGAAGCTATGCTGTGTAAGCAAATCGTAATGTGACGTGAGCACTCCGAGTAGACACGGGAATGAAGTCCAGAAGCAAAGCAGATGCTGGGCTGTGGCAGGGTCTGAGTGGCAGGCCAGGAAGGATCACAATAAGGGGCAGTATTCTGTCTTAGAAGGAAGTAGCTCCCTAATGCCTATGCTGAAGGTAAAAGGGAAGCTAGTGAAAAATAGGGGGTGTGGTCAAGGAAGAGGCAGGCATCTCCATTCCATCTCATTGCCCAAGGGCTCAGACTAAGAAGTGAGAAGAGCATTCCCAAAGCATATGAGCCTTTCTTTAAGGGCAGAGTGTGGTGGCTTTTGATGTTGCTGGTTTTTTGTTGTTGTTGTTGTTTTGGTTTGGTTTTTTAATGCTCGAATGTGTGTCCAGGGCGGGGGTAGGGAGGCCATCACAGGACAATATCCAGGAATCACTTCTTTCTGCCTTGTTCCACCTTATAGAGTGCAGAGACTAGACTCATGCCCTTGCCCAGCCAAGCCATCTTGCTGGACTCAGAGTGGGTGCTTTAGTTATATGCCCCAGAGTGGGCTTTGGTACAGGAAGATTGGTGCTGAAGTTGCTCAGTTATGGTCAGAGAAAGGTGGGAGCCACTAAAACCTGAGCGGTAACTAATGAAGGTGGTTCCCTGTGTTCTTGGTGCCTTGCTTCAC